GTCTCAAATACACGCGCACACACAATCCACTGCTGTTGGAGGAGGACAAGTGTCAGCTGGAGGCATGGAAAGATAGGCCGCCCCCGCTACACAGTTAATCTTAATGAAAAACGAGTCAGCCTCCAGACTTGGTACTTTGGCTGACATCCATTGATGTTCATCCTTCTTATTTATTTTTTTTTTTCTGTATCTATATAATTTCAAAATGCAATCACAAGGCTTAAAAAAAGGACATTTTAAAGTTCTTGAAACACCTAGCTTTTACAGGGAAATAAGTCAATGAATTTAGCATGAATATTCAGTTTTCTACCAATATACTATCAGATAACAATCATTAATCATCATGAAGCAACCAAGGTGAAAATACAAAAACAACTGCAATCCCTGCCATTTAATAGTGATGTTGAAACATTGCAATGTTTAGTTTTTTTAATAATAATAATATATATATATATATATATATTTTATTTATGGTGATCCTCTGATAAGACAAGTTAATGGGTATTGAAATAACTGACTTTTTTTTGGTATTATGGAATGAGTTCCACAGCGGAGAAAACCTGATCATTTCTTTTTTCTTTTTTTAAACCTGATTATTTTTACACAAATCGTCACTCAAATCATTTTTAATTTGTAGGAGGTGAGCATTTTGAGGATTTAATTATGAATATTAATGTGGATTACTAGATGTGGCTTTGTTTAAAAGCAACTGTTCTGGCTGGTATTCACAGATAAAGAAAATATTTGATGAACAAAATATCTTATATTACAAAGTAAAATGGTGAGGGAAAATGAATTGGCATTTACAGCACTTTCCCTCCAGGCAGCCCTCAGAACTACATAGCAACAATAGAAAAGCATATAAAGCTAAATCTTTGACCCCAATTTCATATGCTAAAGACCGTTAATGTGTTTGGTTTTGCATACAATAAAACAAAATTGTTCTGGAAATGTTTTTCCACATAATCTTTGCAAAGAATGAGGATATTAATTACCATCCAACAGATGTACAATCAAAACAACCACTGGACATGCTTTCATTCACAACCTTTGTTTACCTGTTAAACAAAGGTTTAAAAAATGGAGACTGAACACCTTAAATTTAAAGTTGTTGGTCATAGAAATCCCTTTCATTTAACATATTTTTATGAGTAAAATGTAACCAAAAACTTTGGAAGATTTGTCCATGAAGTTCATAATGCTTATATTTAGGATTAAACAGCCAGTAGCAGAACTGCATGATATTAACCAAGAAGGCCAGAGTGCAACACGGGCTGAATTGGTCTCCACTCTGACTGTAAACAAGCGCCTCGAGCTGAGTCCTGACCTCTTGCTCCTGTCAAATGTTGAACTTGGTAGTGAGACTTCCAATTTTCTCGTCACATTGTTGCAGTGCTAGGGAAACAGCCTTTGTCAGGACTGCAGATAGACACGGGGCCTGGCTCAGGAGTCTTGTTGCTTCTGGACCCTCTCCTGGCATCATTTTATTTTATTTATTTTTTTGTCAAGCTGAGGATCTTGGCATGACGCAATGCATTAAGGATCCCCTCTGCATAAGACCATAAAGGGGTTTGACACTTTAACTCCAAATAGCCAAGGGCTTGGACACTTAATTAAGTCCTCACAGTTCTCTTCATTATTCATTAATGTTAAGGATTACTGAGTCCTGTGAACACATGAGCTTTGTCAGAAGAGGTCTTCTCATGAGTGTTATTTGTTATCTGTGTGATTGCATCCACTTGTCCACTCCTTTAATGTCATACTTAAACATTAGACTCAAACAAGAAACTCGCTCCTTGAGCTTAGGGCACAAATGATATAATGTTCAGGATCTTTTTGCATAACATTTTATTTATGTATATTTTGATGATTGGGCACGTTTATAGCTATGGGCAGGTGGTGATGTAAGACTCAGAGGTTTGTCACCTGAGAAATCATGGTGACGAAAAGGAAATATATGGAAAATATGGTCATTTTTTTTCTCTGACTAAAAAAGAATGAAAAATATTTCCTGAAATCACCAAAGCAGAACAGTGTTGTTATTGTTAGAGATTAGAATATGAATCAGAAGAGCAGTTATGTTTGTTTAGATTTGTCTGCAAAACCATTTGAAAATCAAAATTTCCATAGCAATTGAGAACAGAAAAAAACACACATTTCCCTTCTTGGAATGGTTAAATTGAGTGACATGAACCGGTCCAGAAAGTATGTGAATGTGAATGTAGCCTGAGATCAAATAGAGTAAAATGACTAATTTGGACAGATTAGGGTTTTGCAAGTCACAAACTGTACTGATGGGAGTGCCCAGTTCTGAGAGAGAACTGCACAAATCTATAAACACATTCCCCATCAGCTCATCTCAATGATGTCTAAAGTAGTCTAAAAGGAGCAGAGCAAACCTGTCACCCATAAGTTTTTTTTTCATGTCTACAGAGCCTGTAAATTACGAATGATGGAGTACTCCTTCTTTCGTATGGCTACAACCCAAATCTATAAAAGCCTGAACCTATCCAGGCTGCACTCGACCCTTCATCCAGCCCTCCAGCAACCCTGAATCTGAATAATTGGTCATAGAAAATATATAGACTCCATCTGTTGGTGTTAATGTAGCTGCTGACTGAAAATGACAATGAGACATGACTCTTACAGACACAGACACACAGATATGTTTTTCACTGTTGGCAGTAAAAAATGGCGCAATAAACTGTAAAATAATTGTACAAATTAATTAATCCTGCATGAATCGTATAAATGTTTTTCTCGAAAAACTTTGTGTTGTAGAGGGAGTACATCCATGAGTATACATTGCAAGAAAAAAAAAGGTCAACATCCATCACAAGCAGAGGAATAACGGTACTAATGGGGTTTCATTAATAGATAAATATAATTGTTTTTCAGTGCCAAAGAAAGGTTTGATAAAGATGCAAAGCAATACATTTGATCTTAAACATCTACTCTGTGTTGCTGGCATCGATAGCTACTTGATATATACCCAGATAAGGATTTTGATTACTGCTCAGCAGTGGATACATAGTATCATCTTGAATCTGTCTTGCCTTTTTGCTTCTTTTGTGCAAAAATACATGAAAAGAAAGTGAAATGCAAAGTAGACTCACTTCTTCAAATGATGAGTCACTGGAGGCTCCTAATTGGATGCTACCTGATTAAAATCAGAGGCTTTATGTTTGGGGAGTATTCATTAGAGCCTTTGTTGGTGAAGTATTTGAAATGTTATCACGCTACTGTAAAATGATTCTTAGTCCATCAAAACAACTCTCACACACTTTCATCACTTTATCTGAAAAAGCTCCAAAGTAAACCTCTTCTCAAGTCATCAAACATGCCTGTATAAACCTCGAGTCTCAGTAACACATTTCTTTGTGTGTGTATGAGTGTGTGGAAGTTGTAGGGCTAAAGTAATTATGTGCCAAAGACGGGCCTTTTGTTAGTCCGAAGCAAACCAATTTCCTCAATCCGTATCATTCAAGTAACTCATTGCTTACATTTTTTGGATTCCTGAGCGTACGAGTAGTACAGAGAGACCCTTGAAATAAGCAATATATGCTATCAAAATAAGTCAATAACCACCATCAAGCTATACCAGGCATGATCATTGAAATGGGTTTTATTTCAAATAGCAACTGATCAAATACTGAGGCACAGCAGCTTTAGAAGTGAAGACTGTTGTTGGATGAACTAAATTGAAAGGTTCTATTAAACAGGTGCCGGCTCATTGGATCTAAATAGTAATGATATTGGTGCTCATCTGAGAATAAGTCATGGCTTTGTGTGGTAGACAGCTCGAGATGCCCGGGCTGAAATTGAATTTGATTTATTTCCTTTGGCTATCTAAACCCTTTTGTTCACTTTCTCTCTGCTTAGCACTGATTGTTTCTCAAGATCCCTGGTGGACCAAACGTAACTTTCATCCACAGGTGGAACACACAAAAACAGAAAGTAGAGCATGGCAAAAGATTGTAGATAGTCTTCTCTCACTTTATGGAACTTCATAGATTCTGAACACCCATCCATCCATCCATTATCAATACCGCTTTATTCCCTCATGGGGTCACGGGGGGAACTGGAGCCTATCCCAGTGGTCAACGGGCGAGAGGCAGGGTACACCCTGGACGGTCCGCCAGTCCATCGCAGGGCCACACACAGGACATACAAGGACAAACAACCACTCACACTCACATTCACTCCTAAGGGCAATTTCCCCAATCTCCAATCAGCCTAACATGCAGGTTTTTGGACTGTGGGAGGAAGCCGGAGAACCCGGAGAGAACCCACGCAGACACAGGGAGAACATGCAAACTCCACCCAGAAAGGTCCTGGTTCCCCCGGGATTCGAACCCAGAACCCTCTTGCTGGGAGGCGACAGTGCTAACCACCACACCACCGTGCCGCCAGATTCTGAACACATTTGACCCAATTTCCTTTCAAATTATGTCAGTTCCATTTGAGATGGGTGGTGGTGGTAGTGGTGGTGGTGGTGTGTGTGTGTGGGGGGGGGGATTTCTAGGTTAAATCACAAAAATGCATGTTTTGGTCCTTTGTGGAATTGTGCCTCGTCATATAATAGAGTAGACAAGAGCTCATTAATGTATAAAAACGTGCTATCACAAAGTGGTCACAGCACTGCAGGATTGATGTACTCTAGAATGTATTGTGCATTTAATTTTTCTAATAAGAAGGACAATAAACCACTGATATTGACTGAGCCAATTCCAGTTTGATGTAAAAAAAAAAAAACAGAAATAATCTTTAAACTACAAATTAAGTCTTTTTTTCCCCCATCACTTATGCTTCTTAGTCAATGTTCCAGTCAGAGAAAATACTACCCAGTTTAATTCAGCCCTCTCAATGGTATTCATGTGTTTCAAACTGATTAACTGTTCCATTTACTTATTGTGATTTGTTCAACCGCATGTTCTTTCAATCATATCCAGCCATCAAAATAATTAAGGTTATGCTTTTTTTTTTTTTTTTTTTTTCAGAAATATCCAAAGCTAAAGCACGAAGTCATGTGTAATGGGCAACCACACAGTAGTTTTTCTTCCTCAAAACCTGCTAAATGGATATTTGCGTGAAAGACGCCATCCCTGTTTTTATTTTAAAAATTCCATCAGTTATGGATGCGGCAGGGAGTGAAAAGGAAAGGCAGAAAATTCACACATTAATTGGGTCATACCTGAGGAGCATGGAGGGAATTTGTAGTGAAATCTCATCCTCCTGAGAGTGTGTGCTAAGTTCAGATAAGCTCACACTGCATGGATTCTCCATCTTATCTTGAGCCAGCAATGGGACTGTGAGATTGAATAATCTAGGGTAGGTTGGGGAGCAATAGTTCAGGCATCCATAGGCTCTTAAAAGCAATTTGACAATGGTTCCACACTCTAATAAGTGTGGCCCATCCCCTGTCAGAGGAGGATGCCAAAATAAGGGCCTATTACTTGACATCCTCACTTATAAGAATATGAAATTACCAATCGCTGGGCAGACCAATGTCAAACTGAAAGTCATGGTAAGTAGAGCACAACCTATTTAGCCCACGTTTATACCATATTCAGCTGCCAAAGGATTCATTCATATATATTTCCACTACATTCAAC